AAAAAAAAAAAAAAAAAGGCATGGTAGTAAATACATCATAGTTACCTCGGGTGTTTTTGTGTCTAATTAACAGTAACAGTAGGATTGTAAACCATGTTGGATTAGCAGCAGCTGTTATTAAATGTTGTAGCTTTAGTCTTTTGTAGAAACATGTTTCCTTGGCTCAGCTTTCGATAATGGTACAGCAGCCCTATGTGATCAGCACTTCATAGCTCTTATCAAAATGTTACCTTGGGGATCTCAGACAATCTGTGGATCAGTTTTCAATAGAACTGTTTCCTCATGTTAATGTCTGTGGTACGTTTTTTAGTTAAGGTATTTAGCACATCTTTTTAAACTGTGGGAGAAGGTAAACTCTACAGAGAGGCTCCAGCTGAGCGTGAAGTTTGAACCAGAGCCTTTGTGCAGCAAGACCACATCAATAACCACGTCACTAACACAATCTTCTTGTTTCTCACTAAAGGGCAGCTACACTAAAACTTTATTATAAAACATTGCTACATATTGGGGTAAACTTTAAATTAAATGGAACAAATTTTGTTTAGAAAGAATTTCTTTCAGACTGTTGAAATAAATTCATACTCAAATAAAAACTAGAACACTTCAGTTCTGGACATGTTAGCAAACCTGTTAGTTATCCAAACCTGCATGCCCTGTGTGAAAAAAGTGATTGCCTCCTAAACCTAATAAGTGTTTGGGCCACCCTTAAAGGCATCTACTGCAATCAAGCGTTTGTGATAACTGTCAATGAGTCTTTTACAGCACTGTGGAAGAATCTTGGTCTACTCATCTTTGCAGAATTCTTGTGCTTAAGCCACATTGGAAGGTTTATGAGCATGACCCCAATTACTTTGTTCTCATTTGTTCCTGAATTTCCTTGGATCACAGCGAGACATGTGGCTCTTAAGAATCTCACGGTCTACTTGTCTTTGTCAAGCAGGTCCTATTTAAGTGATTTCTTGATTAAGAACAAGTGTGGCAGTATTCAGGCCTGGATGCAGCTAGAGAAATAGAACTTT